AATTTTCATTATAACCAGTAAAACCATTACAAATTATGTGATACTTTCTAATTTTTTTTTTCAACAGAGGATTGAAATAAATGTATGATTGTATGAACTAAAAAGCTTGAAATCTACATAAAAAGAGCAGAATGCAAAATTTATGACAATGATAAGCATAAACCGAGAATCTAGATAACTGAAACAACAGAATTCTTCAATTTGAGTATTCATATGTCTCTCTCTCTGTGTGTGTGTGTGTGTGTGTGTGTCATGTTAATCAGACTAATCACCTTATAGGCTACTTCATTTACTCAATTTTCTAACCCAATAGCTCTCAAATGTAACCCGTTGTAGAATTACTGCTGTCTCTTTATGAATGAATGGAATAGTCATGCCAGACAATGCGGAGTGATAAATAGCAGTGGACGCTTGGACCTGGGATTTTACTATAGTGCTATAGGTTACATGCTGTGTATAGTGAGAGCGGCGGGCAAAGGTAACCTGATGTAACTGTTTGCTTTTTTCCTTTTAGCTTCTCCCAACCGCCTTTATCTTCACGTCTTTTGCTTGCCATCACGAGCCCACTGTCCATCTGGACTTCTCCAGAACGTCCAGATGGCCAGTCCTCCCCTGGTCGCGTCCAGTGTAGACAGACTTTAGCTTTTGCGGCGCGACACGACAATTGTCGCGTCCGGTGTAGACACGGTGTTAGTAAGCATAAGAGCCTCAAAACAATTAGAAATCTTACCAACAATGTGAATAATTAGCAAAGCATACTAAAAAGCTTTCAAAGCAGAGTAACAAAAAGTTGAAATATGGTAGAGATCGACCGATGTATCGGTTTTGCAAATTAATCGGCACCGATAGTTGATTGCTGGAACTATCGGTTATCGACAAAAATCCATGCCGATAGTTTTCCGGGTTGCGTCCATTGCTGGAGCGGCTGAGAAGGGTCTCAAAGTACCCTGAAGTAAAATAAACACCCAATACTTTACAAAAATGGCAACTTTTACCGCTTAGCTTACCATCTCACACTGCAGATATTAAACCATCAGCACTTCCTGTTTCTCTGGAGTCCCTCTTTACCTTGTTCCACTCCAAAGCTAAACTGTGCTTTTGAGTTTGGGTTTTGATGCCTCTGGGTGTACGCAAGACAGCCTCTAAAGCGGTGAAAGACCCTCTGTGACTCTTTTATGGTCGTGCAGCGATGCCAGGGGCAGAAATGAGAGGTGTTTGCTGCTGTGTGTTTTCATCCACGTGTAAGTGAGCTATCCGTACGAAAAGCGCTGTGTCATGATGAGTCAGCTCACCCCAGGGCTGTTAGCGTAGAAGATGAGATGTGCGTGAGCGCTCTCGCTCCTCTAGCAATCTCTCTCGAGCTCGCCATGCTCACCCTCCGACGCGTCCCCCTCAAAGAGCGCAGCGATTCACCAAAACGTGCTTTCAAGAGGACAGGATTGAGTGGTCAAGTGTAGCCTCTTTTAAAACTGACTGGAGGTGCAGCGCGCACCACTTTGTGGCCGCTCCTGGTCGCCTTGAATCATTGTTATTACAGAATGGGAGAAAGCTTGTTATTATATCCGCAATGGCAGGCTGTGGCGTTTCCTGCATTCCCTCCCTCTCTTCGGCGCCTCCAGCAGGGCAGAGCTAAGCACTGATTCTTTCAGAGCTCAATCCGTTTGACCCCCGGACTGAGTAAGCGACGGCCTGCTGAAAGATTTGTTCAGGGGGTGATTAAGTTGCTCCGTCTGCTCCATGGGGGTCATATTTTCCCTTTCGTACATCCAGCCGCGCTGATAGACGTCTGAAAAAAGCCTTGTGGATCTCAGTGTGTGGCCCATCAGAGCTAACTCAAGGCTTAAGGCCTTGAAATAACCAATTTCAAAGCTCGATTGTTTTTTTTTCTTTCCTTTCTGCAGCTTTGTGGAATATTAATTCTACCTCTTTTGTCAGCTTCTTCCATAACCATCAGGTTTTTCGATTGTTACTTGGCGAGTAGTTTTGCTTATTCACCTGACAGGTTGTGACTGTACATCTGTGACTGGGCTGTTAGCTGTCAAACCAGTAATCGGTCGAGCAGTTTGGTCGTTTGTGTTTATCTGGGAATCATCAGGAAGAGATTCTGCCTGTTTTTCCTTTCGTCTGTCCGTCTGTTCGCTCTCTCCCCATCTCTCTCGCTTTCTCTCTGTGTGATTAAGAGCAGCGTTTTAGAGGCCACTTGATGGCACCCATCACCCTGTTGTTCCTCAAGTTTTAATGAGCACTTTAAACTCCCAGAGGAACCCAAATGAGTGGTTCCCATCGGTAATTATTCCTAACACTGCCATGAATATGCACACAGAAGTCCCAGCTGGGCCCAACACTCTTTACATTCAAACACCAGCTCAAGCTCAGAGGTCTTCATGCTTTTACCTCAGTTATTCACCATTTAAAATGGATGGGCAAGCATGGCAAATGGCAAACACAGGCAATATGTTGAATAATCATCCTTTTTTTTGCACTACAGTTGGGCAATAGTACAGGTAATATTAGGCATCTTATGATTATTGCATAATTGGTTGATCATTATTCTTTGCGATAGCGTATATATTGTATTGCTAGTAATATGCTGATCTATTTTTTCTTCAAATATTTTATTTATAGTATACAGTATAAAGTGAAATACTGCTGTCATATTGGTTATTTAACTAAGGAAAAGAAAGCCAAAAAAGTTAAAGGGATAGTTCACCCAAAAATGAAAATTCCATCATTAATGACTCACCCTCAGACCTTCATTCATCTTTGGAACACAAAATATTTGTATATATTGATTTTTATAATATTTAAGATATTTTTGATGAAGTCTGAGAGCTTCCTGATGCTGCATAGACAGCAACACAACTGACACGTTCAAGGGCCAGAAAGGTAGTAAGGGCATTGTTAAAATAGTCCATGTGACATCAGTGGTTCAGTATACAGATAATGAACTAAGAGAGAAGGACGTTCTACATCAGAACGCTGGCTTCTGCATCAGCAGCACCACACGCATACGTCGTGGTACTGTCGTGAAAGCGCGGCAAAGACTGACACGGAAGAGAAGAAATTGTTGAATAAAGTCATTATTTTTGTTTTCTTTGTGCACAAAAAGTATTCTCGTAGCTTCATAACATTACGGTTGAACCACTGATGTCAAATGGACTATTTTAACGATCTCCTTACTACCTTTCTGGGCTTTGAACATGTCAGTTTCATGGCTGTCTATTAGAGGTGATTTTAATCACTACCATAGACATCAATGTTTATCTCTGAACTATAAACTTTCATCCTAGTATTTCTGTGATAATATGAATGACTGTAAGACAGAAATGATACTGTGTGGTTGAATAGACTGTTTGTGAAGCTGTTTCTTACCTAAACATTGTAACTGCTCTCTCTGTGTCAGCGGCAGAGCGAACGCAGATTTGAATGTTCCAGTAATACTTTTTCAAAGGTTTAATAGACACGGGTGAATCGTTGTCATTTAGAAAGTAGATCGCATGGGTGTCTGAATCAAGATCGTGATCTTTTAACAGTTAATTGTGCAGATCTACTGTCTATGCAGGGTCAGAAAGCTCTCGGATTTCATCAAAAATATCTTAATTTGTGTTCCGAAGAAGTTTGGAATGACATGAGGGTAAGTAATTAATGACAGAATTATCCTTTTAAGAATTTTTTTGTGCATCTTTGAAGAAAAAAATCTATTTTGTGATTGATTGCAATTGTAGTCTAACTTTAAGCATCACACACTTTTAATGCTCAGTTACGGATGTGCAAAGCTATTGGGTATTTCCTACAATTCTCAAAATTCTTTCCCAAATCAGTTAACTCCCTACTTCATCATTTGAGATAAATTTGTCTTCTCTAACAGCATGAAGTGGGAAATTCACAAAAATATTATTCCAACTCTTTTAAATAAGGACTTGCATTAAGGACCTGCTCATTTTTCAGTTGAGTGTGAACAGTTTTGCTAAAAAAAATGGCAGAATACTTTAAAAAAATATCAAGCTACAAATGAGATTTCATCAACAGGCTGATGTTTTGTTTTTCTTTTTCCTGAGTATTTCACACATTTCAAGCAGACATTAAAATACAGTATGTTTTAACAAATCAGGTTAGAGATTTTATTCAGTGGGTTTAATTTATTCAACATTTACTCTTTTCACTTTAAAATTGTGAACACATGTCCACACACTCTGAATTTGATCCACTTTCTAGACTGTCATCACTAAATCATGTCAGTCTGAGATGTGTATCAAATGTATCATGTATTTTTGGTGAAAGCAGTAAGATTGAAGGAACAGAAGAGCGAGGAATTCCTTTGAAAAGCCTTTCTAAAGGTTACAAATTATTTTTTTAATCACTGTGTGTTAGCGCTTGTGTTTCAGTACGACAAACTTTGTTGAAAAGAGTCGTGTGTGTATTTCTGCACCTGTGACTCATTAGCCAGATCATCTGCACAAAATAACTTTCAAATAAATTTTTTTTTCTGTAATGCAAAGCTGACAGAGAAAGCTGAATATGAGTGATCTTTTTGTGTGAACTGAGGAGAACAACTGTCTGAACTCTGGTTCATGGAAGGGAGAGAAATTAAGCTTGGGTCCGTAATGTCTTTAATTTGTATTTTCTCTTTGTATATTTCTGTCCCGCTCTCTATCTCTGTTGTGACTTCAGATACAAGCGGTTTGCTGAGTGTCTGGCACAGTTGGAGGAGGCAGAAGGGGCCTTTGATTACTTCACATTGAGCTACCGGTCCTTCGGAATTCAGCGGCGATCCGACAACGGTCTGGTCCTTAGGGAATGGGCACCGGGAGCGGAGGCCGTCTTCCTGACTGGGGATTTCAGTAAGTGTCACCATGCTGAGACCTCTGTCTGTTACATCCAGGCACAGACCCTTCTTAATGGACATATCTATGAAGCAAAATACAAGCGGTTTATTGTTTCCAAGGAAACAGGCTTTAATTTTAGGCCGCTAATGCTTGAAATGCTCTTCGCGTTTACAGGGCGAGGAATCTGCGGGGTTTGCATTGAGTGATTTATTAAGCCGTAATGATGTGTGTTGCCAATTGTGTGCTTGTCTGGATTGTTTACAAGTAGTCTGTCAGTATTGTTCTTTTAGAGACGTTGAGAGACAGAGAGGACGAGAGAGTTGGACTGATGTTCTGTTGTTAAGTTTTACTCCATTAAAAGCCGATTTGGAGTCTGTTATAGAAGCAGCGTTCAAGATAAGGCTAAATTCCCTCTAATCTTGAAGTAACAGGAACACATCCAGCAGTTTGCATTGTCCCGACTGCCAAGCTTCATCATTGTGTCTGAAAATTAAACTGATGCCCTGGTGGGAAAGTGTGACGGAGATCGATTGATTAGCAAAAAGTTGACAAATTTCATCCAAGCTTTGTTTACATACGGAAGAAAGTCCTCAGTCATATGCAAACTGTTCATAATTCTACGTTAACGTTGCTGGTCAATAAAGGTCACAAGGGAATTAGTATTAACAATATTGAAAACAGGTGCTACTTTGTATAAGCATGATTTTTTCTGCATTCTTTAAAAAAGGCATCTTTTTAACACCTTTACTGCCCCTTTTGATAAATTTAATGCATCCGGGTTAAATCAAAGTATTCTTTTCTTTAAAAAAAAAAAAACTCAAACATTGCCCAATGGCCAATGCATCCCTAGATGTCATTTTCATTTTTTACAGCGCTAACACCTGAAAGAAGCTCATTATTGGATGGCTCATGGACAATGCTATCAGTGAACACAATTCATTTTTAGTGAATTTCACTCTCAATGTTCATGTCTTTCCCATCTTAATGTCCAGATGGTTGGTCACATACGTGCATTAGGCATGAAACGTGCATGAGGAAACTTTGATGTATGATGTTCAAAGCTTTCTGCTTCAGTGCTACTTGAATAACTCAGTTCATGTTGTCAGGAAGAGATCTTAAAGTTCCTGTTTAAAAGCTGCGCTGTGTCTGCTCTCCTGTCTTTTGTCCTGCTGTTGTCTCCTTCTCACCTCCTTTGGCTGACGGAAAGGTGTGACAGTGTCTTCAATAAAAAAAAAGAAAGCCAGAAAACACGTTCCATGCTTCTGCGCACACACACATAAAACATAAGGACACATGTACCGTGACCATTCAGGATGTGCTGGGTATATGCAACAAAAAATATAGCAAGATTTCAAGGATTAGTTCACCCAAAAGTGAATATTTTATTGTATGTATTCACCCTCGTGTTGTTCTAAACCCAAAAAGTAAATCATAAATGCTGGCAGCCACATAGATGAGAGAAGTAGTGATGTTTAATTTGTGAATGAATCATTCTTTTGAGTCTAATCTTTTCATTGAATTGGTTGATGTTCACAAAACCAGTCACAATGACTCATTTGGACTCATTCAGTTCACTGACTGAGTGAATTATGACTTAAAGTTAATTCTGTTTGTTATACCTGGTTCACACAACTGGTCTGAATGGTCTTCATTCGCGGTCACCGTGATTTTGATAAGTAAGACATGTTCCTGGATCAACATAACTGTCCAAAAATATAGACTTAACCCAATCCCTACCCATAATTTATTCCTAAAATCAGTGTGAAATGATAGCTGATTAACAAGGGTGTAGAAGCACCTAACCCTGATCGTAAGCCTAAAACAGATATTTCTTGAAAAGTTATCCCTCAATTATGATTGGTTGATAGGAATGTTGTTCCAGGATCAACAAGGATTTTGATCCAGGAACATGTTGTTCTTGGTGAAATCACGTTCACCCTTCATTCGCAAATCAAACTGATTCAACTCACTAACTGAATCACTTACATCACTGTCTGTTTGCATCTGTTTTGATTCACAAAACTGGTCTGAATGATTCATTTATGAATTAGACTGGTTCAGTTCTTAAGTATATTGTGCAGAGAGAATAATGGCTTAAAGTACAGTGTTTTTAACATTTGATTCACTAAACCAATGTGAACAATTCATTCACAAATACAATTTATAGCCTACAGTTCTCAAGTTTAACAGATTTAATTATCACGCTTTAAGAATCGGAGTCTGTTTGTCACATCTGATTCACAAAACCAGTCTGAATGATTCATTCATGAATCAGACTAATTTATTTCTCAAGTTGAACTCACTGACATCTCTCGCTGTTTGTCCCGTCTGATTCACAAAACCAGTCTGAATGAATCATTCGCTAATTGGACTCATTCAGTTCTCAAGTTCAACTCACTTAGTGAATAATAACTTACATTTTTGTGTGTTTATTTTACTTGGATCACTTACCGGCCTGAATTATTAATTCACAAATTAAACTGATGCAGTTCAACTCACTAACTAAGAGAATCTCGGTCTGTTTGTCTCTCTTGGTTTACAAAACTTGTCTGAATGATTCATTCACAAATCAAACTGATAATTTCTCAAGTTCAACTCACCGTCTAACTGAATAATCACTTAAATCTTGGTCTGTTTGTTACATTTGATTCTGAACTGATTAATTTATGAATATGACTGATTCGGTTTTCCCAAGTTCAACTCAAATCTGTCTTACGACTTCAGAAGACCAGGAATATTTTATGATAATTGTATGGTCCTTTTGTCCCCATTCATTGCTATTGCATAGAAAAGAGCAACCAGCACAGTCTTCATTTTTGGGTGAGCTGTCCCTTTAAGACATCAATATACTGAAAAGCAAAAGGCCTACATATGAGTCAGACAACCTAGCTGAAATGTTTGTATTTTATACACGTGATTGCAAAAATAGCATCTTCTGGCTCAGTGATTGCTAACTATCCTATTCAGTGTTTGATGATCTGACTCTCAGTGGTCCAAACACCAGTGGGCCACGTCCCAATGTGCTCTTCTCACTTCTCTCTCCCAAAACTGCTCGTATCTCAGCCTCGGTACTTAATCGGAAGTCCTCAGGGAATGAGAGTGCAACTAGAAAAATGCACCAGATGTCTTATTGCAAAGCAGTCAAACTGCCTCTGGCCAACTTCAGACTTCTTCTAATTGAGAGTTGTGCTGTGTGGGGAAACAGATTCCTGGGAGTGTGACCTGTGAAAACTCCCAACTCCAGTTTTGTATGTACATATCTATACTTCATGTCTGTATGTTCACAAACATGAAGCTTATTCCTGGGGCTCCACTTATGCTGTTTCAGCAATTATTGATTATAGCTGGAAGACATGATGCATATTGGTGCAGATCCTCCCTCAAAGTCTTCTCTTAATACACTGCTTACATGCCTTGAAGAGAATATTGATCTCAAAGCCTGAAGCACCTTTTAAGATGATAATTGATGAAAGAAGTGAATGATTAGCTAGTTCATGGTTCTTCTCATAGTGTTGTCTTTGTATCTCAGTAGCTTCCCCATTAAGCTGGTGTTATTGACTTATTCCAGCACCTGATCGATAGTTCGGCAGTCCTTTGGTCAGTCAAGCACTTTGAAAGTGAAATATGTTTCCTTTTTTATTTAGAATAAACTGTAGATGGTTAAAGAGAACTGATTATATAGTTACATTTTACATAATTTTTCTTTTGGATATGATATTATTTAGTTGCAGAAAAGCTTTGAACTTTGCATGAAAGCTGGATTCCATCACTGAAACAAAACAAATTAAAAAAATATTTCTGACTTCTCACATATTAGATTTTATTTCTCACAATAAAATGTGCTTTTTTTTAAATCTAATTATCACTCATAATAATCTAATTAATAATTTACGCTTTACGTTGTGCAATTATATTGTACAGTTCCAGCTTTCTTATAATTGTGTCTTTCTATATTACAAATTTTCTTTTCATCTCAAAATTGTGTCTGTACTGTATTTTTTAAATTAACTTTTGTCTTTTAATAGTGATTATTTTTTCTTTTATTAATTATTTTCTTATTTCTCATAAATGCGGTTTAATATCTCACAATTGCAACTTTATATCTTGCAATTGCAACTTTATTTCTTGCAGCTGCAACAGTATTTTTCGCAATGGGGACATTATTTGTCATAATTATGACTATATCATAAATGGTTTTATAAATGGATTATAAATGGATCTCGCAAATACATTTTTTTTTCATTTACAATTTTATTTCTTGCGATTGCAACTTTATTTCTCATACTGTAACTGTGATTTTATATCTCACAATCTAACTTTATTCCTCATTTTAAAATTTAAATTACACATTTTATTTTTTACTCTGAGGCAGAAACATACTTTTATAACTTTGTCACGAATGCAAGATTCACGGCTCTTTCTCAATATTCACATATTTACACACTTATTCCTCTAAAAAAAATGTCTGTGGAGACAAATTTCTTGTGGTATCATTTGGGAATACCATGGTTTTTTTGATACGTTCCATGACATTGAACAATTGTCTTACCATGGTAATTATAAAATAATCCAAGTTCCCTCAAAGAATACTATGGTAGTACTATGGTTATGGTTAAAAAAACTTATTCACTTTGGTCAGTAAATACATATGTAAACTGAGAAGACTGCTTTAAAAACACACACGGATAGTTCAGATGTACTCCATCAAGTACCTGGAGTGTGTGTGTGTGTGTGTGTGTGTGTATGTGTGTGCGTTTTTGTGACATATGAGGACACAAATTTGTATAATGACATGGGTATGACATAGGTATTACAAGGAGCAGGTGACTTATGAGGACATTACCCTATGTCCCCATTTTTCAAAACGCTTATAAATCATACAGAGTGAGTTTTTTTGAGAAAGTAAAAATGCACAAAGTTTCCTGTAAGGGGTAGGTTTAGGTGTAGGGCAATAGCACATACAGTTTGTACAGTATAAAAACCATTACGCCTATGGAATGTCCCCACAATTCACA